AATTGGGAAATCTGTACCCCCATCTGTACCACCAAATCTGTACCTCACCAGCAACTTAAAGAGTTTATGTTTTTCGGAGGGTATAAAAATATACCACTTTGCCCCAACATCCAAAAACACCAGGCTTCACTTGAACGCATATTGAACTGTTTGGGACTCATATGTTAGGAAAGACATTCACCTTCTCTTCTTACATATGATTTTCTGAATGTCAAGGGATTTTTAGGTCTGGTCTGACTCTGTCAGATCAAATAGGAGATAAGCAACAAAAACAACAACTAGAATTATTCTTTGCCCCATTTTTGTTTGTGAAGGTATAGTTTAAAATTTTACCCTTAACATTGTTTTCAGGCATTACTTTCACGAAGCTTTACAGAAGGTATTGTTCACTTAGATTTTGGGGATATTCATTTGACCCTGGATTTTAGGAAGAAGGTTTTAAATTCACTTAAAATAAAATGTATTCACTTTTTAAATAGAAAGAAAATGTTAAGTGTAAATATGATAGCTTTAGATGACGAAATGAAATAATAATAATAATAATAATTTTCGATGTTTTGATCAAAGTTTTACATATTATGTAGCTCATTAAATGAGGCAAGGAAATTTATTACATCTCATTAGATTAGTGTTAAACTGTTAATATGCAGTTTGACATAAAAACATATTTTCTTTGTAAATAGACAAGTATTTTCTTATAAATTAATTTTCTTCCGGGAGTTAAATTATTAGTATATTATTAGATGTACTTGTCTTATAGTTTGACTAAACTCAAACAGAAATCATATAGTACCGTCATTTTTGAAGTTTCAAAACTTGAAAAATTGAATTTATGTTAGATCGATCTAAAATGAAAAGTGCCGACATTGTATACAATGTCGGAAGTTTTTATGATAGACAGGAAATGTTAGAAATTATATATATCACATCAAAACTTTTTGAAAGCATCAGTGTATGTTATTCCAGGCAAGTGCATACCGGGAAATAACCCTTTATTTAAAAAAAATATCAGTCCAAGGAATACCAACCATTTGTCTACAGATATCCACTGTAGTATTAATATCTATACATATATTAATACTACTTGGTGATTACTTAAAAAATGATACCTTTCTAAGTAAAAAAAAGCAAAACAAAACTAACTACAAGCATTGTATACAATCCATTGGCATTGTATACAATACCTAAGAATTGTATACATTGTCTCTAATATAGAGGATAAAGACAAAACTAAAATTGATCAAAGAAAAGTAAAATAAAATAAAACTCCTTTAAACTAAGATCTTTCCCAGAACCTAGTGCTAATTTCTTTTCCTAGGCTCTTCACATGTCTATATGGAGAGTAATTTCAATGCCTCTTTTTAACCATATTTGTATGTTTCTTAGACACTAGGTCAGGCAGATATCAATGCATAATCAATGAATAAGAATTATTTTTTAAAATCATCAATATTCTTAAAAGTTTTCGATTTTGACTATGGTTTATGCAAAAAGACAACTAGATATTACATATTTGGTGGAAGTATTTATAACTGCATTTATTAAATGTTGTCAAGTTGTCAAAATTGCATAAGTATAATCTGAAAACCTCGTTATAGTGTACATGGGGCAAAAAATATTTTAAACGGCAATTTGTGTTCAAGGCATTGTCTTGACCAGGCAATTTTCATTTTTAGAGTTATATAGTTTGTTATTACACTTGTTGTGAAAGAATATATCAGCTTAAACAATGATGCCAAGTTAAGTTGAAATGATGTACAGTGTTCAGGATAAAAATGGATCACTTTGAATAACTTTGATCTAGTGATCGGATTTTCGCTCTTTAGGACTCAATCTTAATAGTATAAGAGGTAAATTTACAATCTAATTAATTAGATCACATGATATTTTACTTTTAAAAAAAAGACACAAAATCGTGCTCTCTCTAAATAAACATAAATTTTTTTCGGCAGATTCAGATTTATGCTTCCCAAAATACAGTGGGTAGACGATGATAATATTCGAATCAGTCGGAAAAAGGTAGAGGATATCATTAGATAAAAGATATTCATGGTGATCCATTCATTATTTTTTTTTATTTTTTGCACTGTACAGAAGTATTTTGTATAAAACTTTTTACAACGCATATGGTGCAAAAATTATACCATGAATAATTTTCTCACATACTAATTTAGAAAATTTAAAGCATTATATAAATTCGAGTAGTGCTTCTTCAGATTTGCTTCTGCAGATTCTGCAGATAAAATCTACAGATTTGTGATTAAACTGCGAAATCTACATACATAAAATGTAATAAATAATGTAATAAAATTGTTTGGTCTGGAATTTTTTATTGCAATAATTTTTTTCTTATTACTTATTTATTTAACTTTTAAATCTTTCAAAAATAGAGGGGCATCTGGAATTCTTAGAGAATCACGATTATTATTTTGTTCTTGAATTTAAAACAGTTAACACAGGATTATACCTATCATTTATATACATTACCTCAAAAGATCAAATGATTTCCTCAAACTATAATCTTTTATAATAAATGAGTAATTTACTTCATATAATGTACGATCGGTTAATAATATGTAAGGCATAAAAATTAATATTTTTTTTGAAATTTTATTTCCTTTCTGGACAAAATGAAGAAAAAATCATGAAATATAACCGAAAAAAATTTAACATCTTCTTAGAAAATCGTCATATTCATTTTCCTTTTTCATTGTCAATAAATAAAAATGGATAATTTAGAATAAAGGATTGAACTGAAATTTTAACATGCAATATTTTCAGAGACTTCCAAATATAGAAGGGACAGATATAAAAATATGGTGATAAATTTATATACAATAATTCAAAATATCATTTGATCATTTATTTGATTGATTATTTATATACAATAATTCAAAATATCAAATGATTTCCTCAAACTATAATCTTTTATAACAAATGCGTAATTTCCTTCATATAAATTTATGATCGGTTAAAATTATGCAAAGTATAAAAATTAATATTTTCTTTAAAATTTTATTTCTTTTCATGGCAAAATGAGTAAAAAAACATGAAATATAACCGAAAAAGGTTTGAAAAAGGAAAAAGAATATGACGATGTTCTAAGAAGATTTTAATGTCAATAAATAAAAATTGATAATTTGGAATAAAGGATTGAACTGAAATTTTAACATGCAATATTTTCAGAGACTTCCAAATATAGAAGGGACAGAGATAAAAATATGGTGATAAATTTATATACAATAATTCAAAATATCATTTGATCATTTATTTGATTGATCATTTATATACAATAATTCAAAATATCAAATGATTTCCTCAAACTATAATCTTTTATAACAAATGCGTAATTTCCTTCATATAAATTTATGATCGGTGTAAAAAAAAGCAAAACAAAACTAACTACAAGCATTGTATACAATCCATTGGCATTGTATACAATACCTAAGAATTGTATACATTGTCTCTAATATAGAGGATAAAGACAAAACTAAAATTGATCCATTAAAAGTAAAATAAAATAAAACTCCTTTAAACTAAGATCTTTCCCAGAACCTAGTGCTAATTTCTTTTCCTAGGTTCTTCACATGTCTATATGGAGAGTAATTTCAATGCCTCTTTTTAACCATATTTGTATGTTTCTTAGACACTAGGTCAGGCAGATATCAATGCATAATCAATGAATAAGAATTATTTTTTAAAATCATCAATATTCTTAAAAGTTTTCGATTTTGACTATGGTTTATGCAAAAAGACAACTAGATATTACATATTTGGTGGAAGTATTTATAACTGCATTTATTAAATGTTGTCAAGTTGTCAAAATTGCATAAGTATAATCTGAAAACCTCGTTATAGTGTACATGGGGCAAAAAATATTTTAAACGGCAATTTGTGTTCAAGGCATTGTCTTGACCAGGCAATTTTCATTTTTAGAGTTATATAGTTTGTTATTACACTTGTTGTGAAAGAATATATCAGCTTAAACAANTATATATATATATATATATACACAAGTCTCGGGAGGTACCACTTTCCGTTCCACAGTAAAATGGCCATAGACGGAGGTTGGTCGTTCTTAGAGGTTACATCCAGTAACATCAAAATTGTTATGAAAGGTACATGTTTTTTCGCATTCGATTTTATTTTTAGTCATGTGGCATTTTCTTGGGGCGGAAATGCCAATTCTGTTGGCGTCATGAAAAGACGCATTTAAGAATAAAATTTAACGCCTGTAAAATTAAGTCCAAGTGATTAATTATGTGGAAAAACTAATTTACCAATTATGAATAATAAAGCTATTTTAAATAAAGAATTATGGTTTTTGTTTAAGTTTCCATTTAATTTTATATCATAAAAATTAGTTAGCGGTGAAAGATGAGAAGAGTTTTGTATGAGATCTAAGTTTCTAAAATAACTCTTTGTTTCTAATTTAATTTTCGTCTCTAAAAGTAAATCATTGCATCATCTTTAGTTCACTTTGATTGCAACATGAGGTTGTTTACGCAAAAAGGAGTTTAAATTGGAGTTTCACATAAATATTTTGAATAGCTTTGAATCTATTTATCTGTTTTGTTAAATATTTTGTTTTGATATTTTTTTTATTATTTCAATTTTATCAACGTATTTTTATTTTAATTTGAACAACGTAAAAAAATGTCTGTTGTCTTTAGAGCAGATTTATAACACTTCCTGCTTAGTTAACTTTTTTTTTAATTACGCTTAAGGAGAACATTCAAGTCTGATCAACTCAAAATAGAAATGGTTGTTAAGCAATTAATTATTTTTACTCATGTTATTTGACATTGCTTTTTTATAGCTTTAAATTTTTCATTAATTTTTCTCTCTATGAAATATTCTATCAGAAAGTTTAGCAGTAATATAACTTTTCTTTTGTTTTTCTTTGGAAAAAAATATTTTTATACAGTCGAATTAGATTTCTAAAAATACTCTTAAAAAATATTTTTTATGCTTGTGATTTTTAAAATATTGTGCATGTAGAAACTTAAAATATAATCTTTTTTTTAATGATAATATATATGCAAAGAGAGTATTCATATACATTCGATTTATCAATACGGCTGATACTTTAACATTTTTTTTAGAAATAGGAATGTTTGAGGATGATCGGCTTTCGAAAACTGAAGACAAGAAATCTTTACTTTATTCTGAGAATTCTATAGGTGATGATGAATTAAAACAGAAAGGAAGTAAATGGTTTTTGTTTACTCATAACGATCTGAGAGAGTTGGAGAGTGCAATAGAAATAGAAATTATATAATAATAGAAATAGTAATAAGAAGAAATATAATAGAATTCAACAACAGAAATTTTAACAATAACGCAATTTTCCTTAGTTTATTTGAAGGCAATTTTTTCATAAAGTAAATATAAATTGTAAAAAGTACACTCAAAATATATTTATAATGCTTGTGATTTCTTAATTATTGTAAATGCTGAAAACTTATTATATTTTCTTTATAGCATTTTTTATTAATAATTTATATGGAAAGAGATTATTTATCTATATTCGATTAATTAATACAGCTGATACTTTTAAATTTTTTTTCTTTATAGGAATGTTTGATGATAATCTTCCCTCGAAAACTGAAAACAAGAATTTTTTATTTTATTCTCCAGCTTCTAAAAGTGATGATGAATTAAAACAGAAAGGAGGTAAATGGTTATTGTTTGCTCATAACGATCTGAGAGAATTGGATCAAAGATGGGTTGTGTTGCAAAATTTATGCAATAATGGAACTCTAGCTGCAATTAAATCATCCACCGTAGCCTGTTCTGATCCTTTTTATGTAACTGTTTGCTACACTACTGATCCCAACAATCAAAAAGAGGTCAAATACACAGCAGATGAAATCAGAAAATTAGTAGACTATAAATTGTCAATGTATTATAAGGCTTCTAAATTATCTACGGGATTAAATGGAGAATTGGAGAAAAAGGAAATGCACTTGTATGAGCACACAGTGAACGGAGAGTTCTACAAAAAAGGTGAATATAAGCAAACATAATTGTATATGTATGTGTGCTACTGTGTTTATTACTATATGAAGTGCCTCCTATTGCATACAAAATTTAATGCATTGCATACAAAATTTAATGTAATTTCATGTACACTTATTAGAGTATTATGTAGAAAAAATTTCTCCAAAAATTACTTTTTCTATTCGTCGTTACGATATTCTAACCTATTGGACCATTTAATTTCTGAGTGACTGAAACATTTCTGTTACAATCTGATTTCTCGTAAAATATAATGCTTATAGGAACAAATTTGAAACAAAAAATCCTAAAAAAATTGTACTCGTAATAGTTGAGTTTAAATTCTTACAACATTAGGAAAAGGTCACACGGAGAAAAAAATTCAAGTAAAATTACCGTACTTTATGGTACTGACATGCAAGGTAAATGAAAGTATAATTCTGGCAATATAAACCAAAATATATGGTATTTAAATAATCTATTTGGTTATTTTTTCCGTTCATATTCTAACGGCTTTCAGAAAATTCTGATTTTCAAAATTATAGTCCTTATTACTCCCTATTTAATAAACAGTACAAAACTAAAAAATATTAATTAAACTAAATAAATGGTTTTTATGCAATGTTCTAAGGTACCATGATAAAATAATCGAATTTTATTACATAATTTAAAATCACATTTTATTGTTAATTTTACTAAAATTATTACTAAAGCGCTTTGATAAAAGTAGCAGTGATTTCGGTGTTCCATATGCCGTAAAAAAGTCCAGATCAAATGACTGTATTAAAGTACGGTATTACGGTCGGTAGCCATATCGACACTTCAGGTGCATCTTCCGTGAAATCTGTTTTTACCGTAAAATATTTTACTGTAATATTTATTTATTTATAATGATTCAATGATTTTGCAGTAATTATTACAGTAAAAATTACGGTATATTAGACTTTCAGTTCCGTAGCACGTTCCGGTAAAAATGGGTTTTTTAAGCGGCACCCTGCGTGCTGGTACATTATACCATAATTTGATCTGGAATTTTTTACAGAGTAAAACCAGAAGTACCATAAATTGTAACACATTCTGGTAGTTTAGACCAAATTTTTTTTTCGCGGTGCAATGTTACTGTCAGAAATTATAATTTTGCATAGGTTATTACAATTCTTATCTTTCGACATTTAAAAATAAGATATTTCAGAAATAGATACATATTTTCAAAATGTTTTTAACTTCATACGTAATGTGAGGGATAAAACAGTGTAATGGCCCAATACTTTTGAATTCAGTATATTTATTATTGGTGGTGCCTGTTTCTTTATCAGTTAAGGATATTTCTTTCTAGCATTGAAAGTAAAACAAATATTTCAGTATTTAAGATGATTAATTGCATTTTCTATCAAAAACGCTGTTATTTTTAATTAATTATTTTTATTAACTGATAAGTGGTCATTCTATTTTTTTTCTCAAATTTAATCCTGATTTATATCAAATTTAACACTAGAGATCCATTTAACTAGTCGTAAATGCTTATCGTCTTTGAAGAAAAAACTATTCGAAATACGAAATAATTAACCGTCTTAATAATAATTAATCTGTCTTAAATTTATTTTTTTGTTACTTACCCCTTGTAAGTAACAAAAAAATAAATTTAAGACATATTGTATGCAAGACAAAGACGTGATACTATACAAAAAAAAGTGTAGGTGTTTGCCTTTTGCCGCAAGTATTTTCATGACGAGTAAAATTACAAATGTAATTAATAAGTTTAAAATTGTGGTTCAGTTGGCATTGTCCAATGACGCCCTCTAGTATGGTTTCTGCTAATCTCTTATCACAGATCAATTACTTCGATCGACTTGTGGTTTTTATAAATTATTAAATAATAACTCGTAATCGATTGCAGTATTATTTATTAATTATTTATATACATTATATGTTCTTTATTTATATGCATTATATATTCAATAGTTAATACATGCATATTTTATCAAGCGTTTTAGCGTTTTTTTCCCTATTGCTTAAAATCACGTGTTAAATTTGATATATGAATCTTTTCTTTTCAGAAATGGATGATTTAAAGCCTTCAACGATACTTTGGAAGCCTTTTACTACATTTATCGGAGCTTGTGGGAAAAAAGAAGAAGGAAGACTAAGAGATGGTAAATTATTTGATGGTATAATTAATTACTATAATAGATTTCTTGCTTTAAGAAGTTTTTGTACTATAAGTTGTTGTATAAATAAATAAATACAAATAAATGGAGGCACACAGGGTTACGGTGGGATTCAAATCAGCTAATACTTCTATTTCAAGATGTTGAGTCCACCCAATTGCGTAACAGTTAAGCTACTGATTTAGTTTAGCCTTTTGCAGTCATTTAGACATGGGAAAAAAGTTAAAAGTGTTTATTTAATTAAACTGAGGTTATCAAACTGAAAATTTTCGAGTAATCTCAAACTGTTGGCTTGTTAAATATTTTATTTACGTCTCTCCAGAGCTGCACAATTGGCTATTGGCGATGGTTTGGAAAAACATACTTGAGGATAATCCAAAGACATGCCATCACAATTTCAATCCTCTATTACTGTTAATCTAAACAATGGTATTTAAATAAGTTTAAAATAGTATTAAATTACTAATCTGCAAAGTAAGTTAAACTTTTCTAAGATAATTTTATATGGTGAGAAAAAGTATGATTTACTTTCGTAGACGATTTATTCATTTTTTAATTAATAGTTTAAAAAAATTAGAGAAACAATAAGAATTCAGAGAAGCAAATAGTGTCCACATTTGTGGCTGCTGAGCGTAAATGGTAATTTCTTAAGGGAATAATTTCACTATTTTCCTCCTTTGAAATAAATCGGGTGAACTCAGAAAAGGGCATAAGTAGCTGCAAACGCAGGAGTATATTAAATCTAGAGTTCAATAGCACCAAACCGAAAATGACGTTCTGTCTAGACTAAAGCAACCATGACATTTTTAAAGTAATGAAAATAATTGGCGTTATAAACTATATTTTTCTCAAAAATTGAGTGAAAAGAAATCAATGAGCACTACGATGACGCGTGATTACGGAATTTATATTGATTGAAGAAAACAATCATTATTTAACTAGGGAAAGACACATTTTGTCCTAATACTTATTATTGTCTAACATATATATTCTGATCCGTGGTGGCTCAGGTAATAGAGCGTTTGCGTCTCAATGAGGTAACCCAGGTTTGAATCCCAGCAGTGTTTGGTTGATACACATTCTGCTCCCGACTTTAACCGATCATATTGTATCATAAGGATCACAGTGCTGGTAGACGGATCATGGGTTAGAATCCTCTAGCCTTCGGGCTAACCAAGCGATGTTTTCGTGGTTTTCCTCTCCATGAACCCGAATACGGGTGAGGATCACCACAAAAAGGTTTCCAAGAAAGACTTGTTTGACGCAATGCTTCATCCAAGAGTTTTCTTGTCTTCTGGGTTGGTCTGAAAATTACATGGCTCCGGAGTCAATATTAATAGCAGTAAACTCAGGTAAATAATCAGGCAACCAACCATGTATATTCTTCCGTTCTTGTCAAAATCGTGGCAGAATTTTCTTTTCTGATTGTTAGGAAGTTTTCCGCAAATGATATCACTGAATTCTTAATATTATCAATTTGTTCTGCGCCTTTTAAAATAGCTATAGATGAAAAAAATTGAACTTTAATTTTTTTTTCTCCAGTGAAGTGCTTTTGTCATTGCTGATAGTGCTTTTTCGTAAAGATTTTAGTAAGCGAGAAAAGTGTGTTGGGATCCTAAAGTCACAGCCCGAATATTGAAGTTGGCGAATAGAGAACGTCGCCCTCTTCCCTCTAATAATTGTACAATACATTTAATTTAAGTTTATTTAATTTTCTTAATAGTATTTTTGTTGGAATAAAAGTATGTAGTATTCATTTAGTAGGATACGAAATAACATTCGTAGGATACGTAATACACAATATAGGATAAAAAATTTAAATTATTTTCAATAAAAAAAATGACAAACTTGAATTGATACTTCCATAAAAAAGTTAAATTTTTCCATAAAAAAAATAGAAAGAAAGGAAAAAAAAACATAAATTCTTTTTTTCTCAGAAGCGAGATTTAATTAGCGCTGAAACTATTTTGTTGCATAACTTATTTACAAGAAAAGCTGTCCAGATTTGAGAGTTTAAAGATATACAGTCGTATAACATATATGTTATGCGGCAATACGAAATGCTTTTAATGTTTCTTAGGCCTAAATATTCTACACGAGGACAAAAACTCTTTAGATAAAGCATGATAGCATGATTTAATTCATGTATATCATAGAAAATGAAACATTGCTAATTTTTTCTTCGTTTCTTTATTTTCTTCTTACGATATTACTAAGTTAACGCAACTAAAGAAAAATGATATTGTCTTAATTCAATAAATCAATTTCTCGATGAAACAACTTTTACTTCAGGCAAGCTTATTTTTTTATAATTATTTTTCTTAAATATGGAAAACAGGCCTACAGTAGTTTGAAAATTAGGGTACAGTATTTGCCGAGTAATTTAAAGAAAGAAGCCTTGCATTATTTTTTAACGCTTTCTTTTCGTTCTTTTGAAAAAAGGTATTACCAAATTTACGACGAAATTTTTTCATTGAATATATGTATTTTTATGGAACGCAAACTTTACTTCAGACCAGCTAATTCAGTTACTATTATTATTTTCGATGTTGAAATCAACAGTATTCTATAAATTAACGACCAACTTATACCAAGTAATGCTTATTTCTATAAAAGAATATCAATGTAGGAAACACCCGCAAGAATTCATCTGAAAATGAATTATTCTGCTGAGTAAAAAATATTAGTCTTGAAGGGAATATCGGGTGAGAATGTACTATAAAATGACCTTTTTCCTTTGGAAGTATAAGAAGGAATACATAGAAAACAGTATACACACCGGATACACAACCACATAGCGTTGCAAAAAGTATTCCTTTATTAATACAAAAGTATACAATTTGCATTTTATACAATGACGTTTTCCAACTTCATTGGTTGTCATATAGATTGATTCTTTAATTCCGACAACTCAGTAGATTTTTTTATTTTATTTAATTAGTTTGAATTTATCAGGGGTGATACTCTACATATTTGGTTATGAATCAGTTCCCTGTCCCAAATTTTCTTCTATTATATTTTTGAAAGAACTATCAAATAGGGAGAAAATTTGAATTTAAACTGAATTAAACTTAAAAATTGATTAAACGTAGTTAAAACTTAAGTTAACAATTAAAACTTAATTAAATTTCATTAAAACTGAATTGAACTTATGCACTTTTATGCATTAATTATTGAAGGGACTATGAATAGAAATGATCTGTTTTTAATAACTGAATATGAATGCATTTGTAACTTCTCATTAGAGATTTATTATTTCAGATCATAATTGCAATATTAGTTAGTAGAATTGAATCCTAATAAATTATCTTATATTTTTGTCTAATATTATATATTGTCTAATATTTCTTTCATTTTTAGACACAAATGTTCTCCTTAAATTGTTGCAAATTTGTGTTTTTTTTACAGAAACACACAGAATAACATTCACAGAAAAAACAATGAAAAAGAGAGGCAGATGGACATTGCATTCTTTCGGTGACTTGGATCAAATCGATCACAGATGGGAGGTGTTGAAAAGCTTGTGTGAGAGTGGCGTCCTTGCGTCCATCATATCTTCAACAGGTACTTGCAATCCGAGAAAAGGAGTGACTAAATGCTTCACTTCTGACTTTGAAAATACTAAAGAAGTGCTAAGAGCAGCAAAAGAAATAAGGAATTTAATAGATTATGAGTATGTGATGTACTATGCAACGGCTGAAAAAACGAGTGGTATTGAAGTGATGTATAATACTAGATACATATATACTGTGAAAGGAGGCTTTTATGGAAAAGATAAATACATGAGATGGATTAGTCTGATGACGTAATTTTGAAAATAGTGGATATTTTTGATATAAATAAACAAAATTAATTATTCATATTCAGTTACAAGATGCAGCTTTAATCTGAATAAATACATCTGAAATGTCCAATGATTTAATTACTTATTTGTATGTTTAGACAATTGGTATATTATTTTCCCCGTATTAAAAAATGTCGAAAACCTTTATGAATTCTGATATTATGACAGTTTAATTGATTTATAGAAATAATACGGTCTCTAAAATATGTATACTTCTTATATTAAAAAAAACATTAATAGGCATTGATTTTGTTAATAAATATTTATAGCTGCAAAATGTTCTTTTTTTCTGATTTTTCATCTTTCTTTTTGTATCAGATTAGATTCTGTTCAAGAATGAATCTTAAATATCTATGATATTGGTTGGAAAAATATTTTTACATAAATTTATTCTTATATAATAAAGTTAGTTAATACTTGATAAAAATTTTTATCAAAAGAAAACTCTTTTTGATAGTTTTCTTTTTTATCATTGGTTGCAATCCTGAGAGTTACGAGGGAAGAAAATATTACGGATAGAATTAATACCTGCAACACATATATAATTGTTTAATCACATTTTTTACACTAAATAAAGGCAAAATGGCTAATAATGAATGAAAAAACAACATATTTTGTTGAGAATGTGAATGAAGTTTATATTAATTTGTTATGAGCTTATGAAGATATAAAAATAATTTTAAGACATTAAAAAAATTGGAAAACTGGATGTAAAAGAGTATAATTATTTTGACCAATATAGATTATAGCTTTTTACAACTATATAATCTATATAGCTATTATCGGCCAAATTTCATTTTAAAAGAGAAATGGATCTTTTGAATTTTGACACTTTAAACGTAACATATGTTTTTATCTTTCGACTTACATCAATAAATGAATAATTACTCGAATGCTTTCAGCAAAATGCTCCAAAAATTGAATTTACTTCTCCTAGCATAGTGTGTTCTAGCATAGTTGATATTTCAAGCCTAGTATTATAACATAGAATATATTTTTAAGTATGTTAATGTAAATAAATACCTTATTAGATTCTTTATACACACATCTTTTATAAATTTAAATTTTTAATGAATTGACCCATTCCTCTCGATTACTTAAATACATTGAAATCAATGCCTCACTTGATTGGATTGCAATGACAGATTCATAAACATGTATGAATTAGAATTTGAATTGCTTCTATATAAAAACAACAACTTCTTAGCTCAATTTCAGATTCATAAACATGTATGAATTAGAATTTGAATTGCTTCTATATAAAAACAACAACTTCTTAGCTGAATGCCAGATTCATAAACATGTATGAATTAGAATTTGAATTGCTTCGATATAAAAACAGCAACTTCTTAGCTCAATGCCAGATTCATAAACATGTATGAATTAAAATTTGAATTGCTTCTATATAAAAACAACAACTACTTAGCTCAATGCCAGATTCATAAACAAGTATGAATTGGAATTTGAATTGCTTCTATATAAAAACAACAACTTCTTAGATGTTAGATAGATTAACATGGTGCCATTTTAATCGAATTAGTGTAAAAAAGTACATTGGAAACATTAGATTATTTGCATAGATAGCAAAGAAATAGCTATGAATAGACAACCCGTTTGCTATTTCTTCTCAGTACATTCTAGATAGAGGCTAAAGTTCAGTGCAGCTTTTATTTAGAATATACTAAGAAGAAAGAGTGTTAACTTCAGATATTCATACTGGACCCAAATCATAATTTTTATAAAAATTTTCAGTTTTTCCATTAATATTTCTGTATTCAATTACACAGGTACGGTCCCCAAAGTCTAGAGCTATATTATAAAAAAGTTGAGTCTGTAACCATAGGTCTGTGAATTGATTTAAATTTAGCTATACTTACGGCTTCTATTTTAGCGAATTAAGTGCTTATTTAATTTCGGCAAAAACAATTAATGAGCCTGAAAGTTGTTCAACAATTCAGTTCCTTGCTACTATTAGGTCAATATTAAGGTCACTCAAAATGTACATCACACTTAACGTTGATTTTTTTAGGTTCAACTCATTAAGTATACATAGAAATATATGCAATTCTGGATTATTGTTGGCACAAGTATATTTTCACGGTCAAAATCTATAGAAAATAGTCGTATTTTGAAGTTTTTTGAATAACTTTTGACATTTGATGTAAAGGTTCACTGGATTTATTTATGCCTCAGTAGTTATTGTTGAAGTATTCGGATGTAAAATAATACAGAGTGCCGTGCTTCATTTATTTCTTAAAAACAGATGCAAATATATGTGTTTTTCTCAAAATTCCAGAGGATCTACAGTTTTGATCTCTGAAAACTTTGTGAAAAATACATTTTCGCAAAAATAAAAGAACACTTGTCCACAAATTTACAGTGCAGTAATCATCATTTAATGCACAGGTCCTCTTTGAACGGTGGGATTTGAATTTCCGTTTTCACGAACACGAGCACAACTTCCTATCAACCAAGTTCACCAGGGGCCTATCAACCAAACTATTTAAAGTCTCAATGAGTTAATAAAACAGGTTCCGCAGTTTTTGCAACCATCTTTTGCTGCAACTAGTTATTGGAATTCGGTATTGCTGGCATATATACTGCCTTACAATAATTGAATATACACTTTACGTTTTTGACAATTTTAAAATTTTTCAAGAAATACTTAGAGGATTATTTTATAAGACTAGCTTAAATATTTATGGAGATTCGGGCATAATTATAAAAATCACATTTTTTTCCCTTAAGCCTTTTTTGCTAAGACTTTAAAAATATACGAGAAAATTAAACAAAATTTTTGAAGATAATTTTGATTAGTATGAAATTATCATTTTAAAATTTGAAAAAATTTCGTTAAAAAGCGCTCATGATACGAGCATTTAAAGTAGTTCTTTCAGACGGCGCATGCGCGGAAAATGCTCAAAAATTTCGATATTTTTCATTACATTGTCGTAAATTGCAATTGGTAACTAAGAAAAATTTAATATATTGAAAAATTAAAAAAAGTTTCAGCAATTTCCTAAGTATTTTTTGTAAATTTTGAAAGAAATCGGAATGCTATCATGCAACAAAGTGTAATAACCAAAGATAATATCTTACAATAATCGTCCGTAAACCAAATGTGATGGCACTAAAAAAAGAAATAAATAAAAAAGCATACGAATTTTATGCTGAGGAAGAAACATAAAACATTTTACTCTCATGGGGGATGAACCCCTACCCTATACTTATATCATTTTTAATAAATTATTCAGATCTTTTTTCTCTAAAAAAGAGTACAAAAGACTGTTAGATAATTGCTAGAAAATTTTAAATTTTTAAGATATTTAAATCGGACTTTTTTCATAAGTTTCTAAATGCTCACTTCCAAACTACGAAAATTTTTTTTTAATTTTTTCTACACAATCTCAGTTTAACAGAACTATTTTAAATGCTCATATCTTGAGCAACTTTTCACGGATTTTTTACAAATTTTTAAATAATAATCTTGCTTTCAATTAAAATTTGCTCCAAAATTTGTTTTTGATTTTTTTGAATATTTTTATAGTTATAGCAAACAGATTCAGACAAAGAAGTTATATTTTTGTAAAAAGGACCGTATCTCCATAAATTTTAAGAAGTTCAGATTACAAGTTTATTGCTATATTGTAATAAAAACACTATTTTTGTGTAATTTATTGCTGGTTACTCGAATTTCAGACAGCGTTAAATATATATATATANTTTATATATTTGTATATAACTATATATATATATATATACACTACCGGTCAAAAGTTTGCAAAAATTTTGAAATCTACAAAAAAATGGTCTAAATTCAAATGTTCATAGAACTGCGAAAAATCATTCAAATTGCATGAAGATTTGATATTCTCTAAAGTGAACCCTCTACATTTAGTTACATATGATCAAATTGCAATACCTCGTTTTTTACGAACTGAATCCAGCTTTTCATTATGGGTTGTTTCTATGGTGAAAAAAGTTTTTAAGTTTGAACACTTGCCAAACTTGCAAAAAAATTTTTGGTACTTTCTGTTGATAGAAAATAGTTGTCTGAACCGTTCTATGTAAGCCCTCAAAATTTCAGATCGATTTGATTTTTTTTTGACGAAGTTATAGAATTTTGAAAAACATGTGTGCTTTTCTCGATTTTTGAGCATTCCACATATGCCTTTGGACTATACATCTTCCACCAAAGAACTTTTTAATTTTAATGTTTTCTTTATTTTCAAATAATTAATATTGATTATAAAACAAATATTCTAATTCATTGTTTTAATTTTTGTTATTACAGAGAATTTATTATGAATATAATTAAAACAATGTCTCATAGATGTCACATTTCATCGAAAATTTGTTAGCTCTTGCAAACGATGCTCTGATATTTCGAATCGAAGTCAGTTATGGGACATTTTACAACAGGAATGGAACTCTATATCACTTGAAGTGATTAATGGTTTGTTAGAACGAATTCAACGCATATGTAAGGCAATATTAAAAGCAAAATGTGGAGTGTTCGAGGAATCTGAGATTTAAATGTTAATTTATTTAATTACAAAATACGAATAAGAATATGTTAAATATTTGACCTGTTGTAAATAAAATAGTTTGGTAAAAATGCAAATTTTTTATACTATTGTTACTATTTTTTTAGAATTATTTATATAACTATTGTTATAACTTTTTATTTTAATTTAATGTAAAGTAAAAATATCACAACAAAACTAATACATATAAGCAATAAATATAAACAATAAATATAAACAATAATAATTACAATGATGAATAAGAGTATTTGTTTTATAATAAATATTAATTATTTGAAAATATAGAAAACATTAAAATTAAAAAGTTCTTTGGTAGATGATGTATAGACCAAGAGACTGCATATGTGAAATGCTCAAAAAAAAAAGAAAAAGTACACATATTTTTCAAAATTCTATAACTTCGTCAAAAAAAAATCGAATCGATCTGAAATTTTGAGGGCTTACATAAAACGGTTCAGACAACTATTTTCCATTAGCAGAAAGTACAAAAAATGTTTTTTGCAAGTTTGGCAAGTGTTCAAACGTAACAAATTTTTTCACCATAAAAACAATCCGTGATGAAAAACTGGATTCAGTTCGCAAAAAACAAAGCATTGCAATTTGATCATATGTAACTAACAGTAGAGGGTTCACTTTAGAACATATCAAATTTTCATGCAATTTGAATGATTTTTCGCAGTTCTATGAACATTTGAATTTAGACCTTTTCTTTGTAGATTTGGAAGGTAGGTAACAAAAAATTGGTTACCTATTGTGTTATTGTTATTCATTATTTTCTTAATTCGAGCTGTTAATTGTTAAAAGGTAGGTAACCAATTTTTTAAATTTATCGAACTTTATAAGACTGGCCAACAAAGACTAAATAAATGAAAAAAAGCTTGAACAATAAAAAATATATCGGAAAGCAGTTATTATGTACCGTTTTAATTGTTGAAAAACATTGAACTCTTAGTAGTCAGGCGAAGTCATTTATAACAAGCTGCAAAATATAAAAAAGTTAAATATTCAAATCGTTCAATATTGTTATTCCCTTTTAAAATTAAAATAAAGTTTTGAGTATCATAAGTACAACGCAATCCTATTTCCCAAACCGCTATTATGACAGATTCACTATCGAGTGAACTGGATTCAAGCAGCAAAAGAAAATGGCGAGCAGATGCTGTTCGACTTACAATCGGCATTCTTGAAAGTGAAAAGGATTACAGGAATCTGTGTGTTCTCGGACGTGGCACCTATGGAGATGTTTTCAGAATGTATGACCCTCACCGAGATTGTGACATTGCCGTGAAAGTTGTGACATCTGATAATCTTGCTGATATTGAAACAGCAGTGTGGCCTAAATTACGTCACCCGAATATTGTGCCTCTGCTGGAAGTCCATACATTTTCCCCAGTGGACACTGTCATATTCGTTATGCCAGTCCAATATAAAACTTTACACGATGTGCTTCAAGACAAGTACTTTCGAAAGAGAGAAGGATGTCTAATGTACATAAAAGCCTGGTTATATGAGGTACTTTGCGGATTAGAATACTTAAACTCAAGGAATCTGTGTCATTTGGATATAAAAGTCGATAATGTTCTCATTACGCACAAGTACACAGCTATGTTGTGTGATTTTTCATTTGTGAATTACACTTCTAGGCCTCTGGAAAAGTAAGGTTTCATTACATAATTTTAACTATTAATTTTATTTTTTGTCACACCTAAAGAGAAAACTCCATTAAAGTCCTTCACAAGCTAAAAAATAATTTTATGTTACACTTATAATTTGCAGAAAAACTAAATTTTTGTTACATAAAACTTTTATCAACCTCATATTAGTCACTGACTCTGAGACATTGACTTTGAAAAGAGTTCTGTTTGGACATTTTTGAATGAATGATTTTAAGATGATTGAAGTAAAATATCTCTTAAAACGACGACAATGCAGACATTTATAAATGCGTTAAGAGCGTAAATATCTTAGAATTAATCAAGATTGATTAAATTGAACTGCGCATGTTTTCTGAGTGTATGACTTAAACCCGTTTTATTATTATTTCTCATAATTAGAAGCTTCTTAAAAAGCCTCCTCTGAAAAATGCATTTATTTTTGGAAATTACTAGTCATTTAAACATGAAGCTGGTTTGTTAATTAACCAAAATATTTATTTAAGAGCAGTTTTTTTTATGAACAAGATTTTCATTTGTTCTTTAGGTACGACCTGGGTCTTCCATACATCTACAGACCGCCGGAAGCGTGCCATTCTCTGGGAGAGACTATAAAGATCGATGGTATTTCTTATGACATGTGGGGCTATGGAGTCATGGTTGTCGAAATATTCACGCAATTTGTTCTTGCTAATACAGTGTCAAATGAGAAGTGTTGGTACAAAGAGGTTTATCCAACACTATTCCAAGCCTTACAAGTAAGATTAGCCTCTCATTGCTAATGAAAGTCTGAATACGCAAAATAGACTAGATAAATGATCTTTCGTACAACGGTCGAACTAGTTTATAAGGAAAACCCTACGCAGAGCAAGTGAAACAAAACCCTATTGAAATACTGAGTTCAGTTTGAAAGTTTAGTACAAATCGCTGTTTCTCGTAATTGTTATATAATACTTCGAACTTTTTCGATTGTGTCGCTTCGATGGCTAAATTTGAACGTAGTATCTCTAATAATTTAAGAAGAGTAAGCTATATTACAGGAGAGCTTTTCATTTTAAATTCTGTTTCACTACCAGGGGCATTTTAAAATGTAAAGTTTAATGAAATATTAATTAAACTTGGAGTAAAAAAACCTTGAAAAAATAATAAAATGCGTATAAATTATTTCTGGATTGTTTTAACACTGCTTAACCCTGAGTAATTCCGTTATAATTAGTTTGCATTTTGATATTTTAAGTTTTTTTTTTCAGCTTTTGAAAGTTCATTTTTTTCCCTAGATTAACCTGAACTCACTTTTTATATGCTTTAAATTTGAAGTTATTTTTAGGAGAGCAGGAATTTGTTATGAAAGTTCTTAAGTAGATACACTCATTTTTATCGGGGTAAAGATAATAATGTTGAGATACATTTGATTTCAGGCACCCTGGGACAATTTTATATAAATAATACAGAAACTGAACAGCTTGGCGCTACTTTTCAATTTAGAGATGAAAATGTTTCGAATTATGTAATTGTTAAATTTAAAAAATATTTTTCGAGTGAAAGTTCAAAATGGTGTTGTTTCCAATGGCACTTGGATTAGATAAGCTCAATAGCCATTGGCCTTTTGCGAATTAAGTCGGGAAGGTGCGCATTTTCCTTTGACAAGAAAGCACCACAAGGGTGAAAGTACGTCTCAGCCCAGTCTTAGTGCGTCTTAACTCAGTACTCCTGGGATAGGTGGCCTGTACCATTTATTCGTGAGGCCATTTACTCAATCTAGACATAAATATGAAGGTGAATGAAATTTTCTCCAGATATTCGCTCCCATGGTACTACTCAGTGACCGATCACAGAACTTTCGATTCCACAGATTTTAGGAGCACGTATATCACATGTTCTCCGTGGGTCTTAGCGGATTCGAGGATCAAATCTATTCTCTAACCACTGGACTACCCCAGTCCAGTGAATGATTAATTGCAATTCTATCTCTGAATTATATTTTTGAAACAAAAGCTACTCTGAATTCAGACTTAAATTTACTGTTCAAATGATAATCTCTTTTGTGTGTAAGTAATATTTCGAAGATGCCCGACTATTGGGAATTACAAATTAGTCTCTTATTAAAGGATCAAAACTTTCTCCTGATTAAACATTTGAGTTCTCCTGATTAAACATTTGAGACCATATTTCGCAGATTGGGGGAATCTCAGATATTTTGAGGGCAGAATCCAAACCTGTTAAAAAAAGTTATGCTTATTCAGAGACTGTGTCTGATTTCGCAACGATCAAATTTTATTCAGTGTGTGTTTATTTATCTATTTTTTTACTTGAGCACTAGTTACTTATTTTTACGATTGATCATTTGTATACCAAATGGTTTCATGAAATATACAGCTGCATAGTTCAATATGCAACTGCACTACAACTGAGTAATTACGTAACGATATGCTGTGAAATATAGATACATTTTTAACAGCAAGATTACGGTATTTTAAGGATATTTTCTCAATATATCATGAATATTATCTTATCATAAATATGGAATATTTATCAAGAACCGTAAATATCAAACATAATGAGCCGAAAGTTTAATTCGTTGTAGTGATAATTACGGGATGCGATAGAGTAGCGATTATTATCAACAACGACAAATATCGAATTCGAGCAAGCGAGTATCCCGATGCTGATAAATTTCATTCGCCTAATAAAAAATATGTAACACTTTAAAAGAAACGAGAATGTTTTTACTTTAAAAATATCACAATATATTATGAAATAATGAAAACAACCTTGAAATTCTGATATCGCCATGCACTTCAACTAGTAATGATAAGTTTATCATGCCCTTTCTATTATTATTACTAGGAAAAGCAGTTTAAAAAAGAAATAGCTGAAACTTTTCCTGCTGATGTTATGAATACTGGTGAGATTAGACTTGCTCTGAACTTCATCCATCTTTTTCTCAAGCAAAACTATGAAAAAAGAGCGATTCCATCCAAAGCTAAAAAACACCAATTTTTGGGAGAAGGTACAGATTTGGGGCCAGTACCTGATCCTATGTGGATTTACAAAGGTAAAATTAATAAAATGAGAAATTGGGTACTTGCAAGCATCAGCACGCTTGGCTATTGACTGACGAATTGCGGCATTTGTTCATGATTCAGTAACTAATCATGTTAGACACCCTAGCGTGACGACACTTGCAGGTACCCAATTAAATCTGATCTAATAATTGACTCAGCGTCATAATGAACCGAGCCTAATAGGATTAACGTTAGGAAACATTCTTGTTTATACATTAAGCGAGGTACAAGTACCCATTAATCAGATGATAAGGAACAACGAATTGGACACAATTGCGAATTTTAATACGAAATCGTAATGCTTTTAAAAATGCAGCAACCGAAATTAAAAATGAACAATGGCGATTAGTACATATTTATAATTATTAAGTAACTTTCAGAGTTATAAATGTTTTAAAATTTCCTGCCTTTAGCCGCAACTCTCCTTTTGGTATTTTGTCTTCTTTTTTCATATTTTTTTTGAATGACGTAAAGACTAATAAGGTTTATCAGTATTCCATGCAATTTTGCAAAATGAACCAATCAAAAAACTCCTTTCGATTCATGTCTAATGAATGAGGTGGCCATTTTTGTGTCATAACAAGGTCAGGAAATTCGTCTTGCATCATTCTTGAAAGTTTTTAGCTTTTTGAGTAGGAGCAGAACTTCATTGGAAGGTTCAGCTTTGTTTTTAACGAGCTTTTGCAACAATAAAAACTACGCCTTCCAATTAGATTTAAATTTTACCTAAATCAATTCTTGCAAATCTATGTCAACACTGTTTTCATAATTTGCGTCTCATATCGAAATTTTAATCTTAACAAATCTGTATATAAATTTCTCTTACACGGCGACAAAAAAAATCCTCATTACAACTCCCCGAATGGCAACGCTAGAAAATCGACCAATGATTGCCGCTAAAAATGTCACATGCCAAATCTAGCTGAGATGGCTCAACATATAGCGCTTTTAAAAACGGGAAACTGAAATAACCAGAGAGAGCATAAGCAAGGCAGAAGTGAGTAGTCTTTGTCGATAGATGTCTATTTTAGCATTTTGTCAAAATCGCTTTTTTCACGAATTTATATATTACGAATTTATTTGACAATTTTTGATTTATAACACGAATTGTTTTGCTTTACTAGAATTTATCTGTTTATGCAGATTTTTCAATTGCAATTCACTTATTTCAATTTTTAATAGACTTAATTATAGCCAAAATTTTAACCTTTTTAAAGAGATATCAGTTTTGGAAATTTTATCTTAAGATTTTATACTATAGCATGTTTCTAATAGGTTTAACGAATTACATGTCATTTATTTGAATTCAAATTTATTTTAATGACTTAGTATTTACTAAAAAGATGTAATTTTTTTTTTTAAAAAAAAGTTGTTATATGGACTTGAATGATTGTTTTGAATTCTTAGAATTTTGTGCATTTGCAATGTATCCAAGTTAGTAGCGAGTGAAGCGAGTTTGGTTTGCGTAGCAAACCATATAAGATTGCGTAGCAATTTTCGGGGGTTGGCGAGCGTTAGCGAGCAGGGGGCGCAGCCCACTAGTTTTTGATAATTCTAGTTGAACTCCCATAAAAATTATAAAAATCGAAATTCTCAATAAGCAAAAAATAAATGTATGGCTATTACTAGCATGAAATTCAAGAAAGTCATAATTTTCAATTTATCACTTGAGATGCATTTATTGAGCTATAAGCTAATGCAAAGAGTCTATCGCATTTAATGTGTATATTTTAAATTTTTATGATTTTCATTATTTTTTGATTTTTTTTTCTAAGATTTCATTTTGTTTCGCTGTTTTTATTTGTAATCTTTTTATTTCTCTTTCCGAAAAAAGAGTTATAATTCCTGTAAGTACGAGATTTTATGAAAAATCTTTTCAACTAATTGCTTTAAAAATATCTATTGCTAAATGGTTGTTTTATAAAAAAAAGCACATTTGTTGGAGTTGTTTTGTAATCACCATCCTTAATATATATTTAATTGTCAAAACCGTTGTCAAAAATAATACAAAAATATACATATTAAGTGTCACATATTAGTGTGTCAGTCAAAAAAAATTTCTTTGAAATTAAATTGAATTGAAGAATTTGACGGTATTTAAAACTTCATTGATTGAACTGGCACTTTTATGTATGTATTTATATTAATCTCGTGTTAATTTTATGTGGAATCGTGAATATTGTTGATAATTAAATTTTAGGCACAGAAATTGTTTTATCAGTATTTAGTGATTTGGCGACTGAATTACCTATTTAATCGAGTTAGTCGCCAAATCATTAAATTAAGATAAAACAGCTTTTTCTGGAAATACTTGAATGCACTTTTCAACATTAATCAAAACAGATATATAACGTTCATGTTTTCCTATCTGTAAGTATTTCCATTGCCAAATGATTCAAAGTATGGTTGGTCATTTTTTGATGAGTTAATCTTCGTTTCTTTATCTTATTATGTAAACCACAAGGAAAGGCAAAAAATAATTTAAAAAGTATTAAATTATTTTTTAACATGTTTTAGCTTATGATCATCCTTTGTTATGCTTTTCAGTTTCGTACATGATTCCACAATGTCAATTTGTACAGATTTATAAATTATTAATGAATTTCTTCACTGGTACCAAGAACGCATATTTAGCTTGTAGAAATTAAATGAAAGCAAGGAAATCTGAAACCATACGTTATTTGTTAGCATTTGTGTCAACTCTAAGCAACAATCATCTTCATAATTTAGTGCTCTTATTTTGTTAAAATTGTAACAACATATATTTTTAAGAACTGACAAAACAAAATTGTGAAGTTTGCGAAGATTTACTGCAAGTAAAACTTACAATTGTTAATTTACCCTTATCATAAATGGTTTACCAACTGAAAATAACAGTTTACTATTAAGATTTAAAACAAAGATTACGAACAACAAAAAGGGATAAGTAATTCTTCTTCAAGATTATTGGATTAGAGTTAGTTACACACTAACTGTAAAAAATATTGCGAGTTATTTTACGCACTTACTTGCATTAAGTTTCTGTGTTACTACCATCTTATTTATTCTTTAAATTTATTTCAGGTGCTGTGAAACCAGTTTTAAAAACAATAGTGCTGCAAGAGTTTGAGAGTTCCAATGAAGATGACTACGCATCTGATTTAAGTAGTGCTGATGCATCGGAAGAAGATATGGTTAGGCTAAAAACAAGCGAGGAAGAAATCTTCGAGAACCTTATGGATAGAAGATGTGGTTTGAGATATCGTCGAACACCAGGAATTAAACACTCAAAACATGCTTGCAAGGACACGAAATCTCTCAAAGATCACAGTACTGATCCAAAGTTCAAAAGTGATGACTCTTCCGAGGAAGGCAAGATTGGAAATAAGCTTTTGAGAAAAGAAATGACTCATAAATCGAAATTCCCCAAAAGTAAATTTGCGAATCAATTTTTATCTTGTTGTTCAAGCGCGAATCCCGAGTTTGAAGACGGAAAATATGCTCTCTTGGAGGAAAATTTTGTACTCGATCTGCCCGGAACTATCAGAAAAATAAAAGATTTCAAGTACACCCCAGAAGATAGTGAATTAAAATCTAAATTTGAAGAAATATCACCAGAAATAAGCGAAATAAAAACTAAGAGGGAAAGAGTACTTTTTAAAGGAAGCAGAATAAATATCGAAAAGGGAGAGACGTCACCAGGTGGAAGTGAAGTAAAAACTAAAAGTGAAGGATCTTTATCAAAAAGAAGCAGTACAATAACTAAATTTGTTGACGAATCCCCGGAAGAAATAGCTGAAGAAGAAGACATATCACCAAAAGAAAGGAAAGTGAAATTTGAAAGTAAACAAACTTCATATTTTGGTTCCACGCTACCTGAAGAAATAGATGAGAGTAACATTGAGTCAAGTCCTGATCAAAGCAGTGCTGAAGAATCTGTGCTAAATGTCACCTCAAGCACAAGCACCGTAAGTACTGATTCAGTGAGTGTTAAAAGTATTGTGGAAAATGAAGAATGGTACCAAAAGTGTGAGCATGAGTCAAATATTGAAATTGCTGCATATGTTTCTGAGTCCGACATTCAAAAGATACATCACGGGGAAAAACGGGCTGAAAATGTTATTGAGGCTTGTGAATCACATATTCGAAGCATTAATCATGACGGAAAACTGACTGAAAAAAATGCTGAAGCAGACAAAAACTGCACTTCTCTTGCAACTGGTGATAACATCATAAGTTGTTCTGCACAAATAAAAAATTCACCCTTGTCCTTATCACAAATTTTACCAGCTGGGGAACTGAGTGATGAAAGTACCCAAGGCTCATTTAAGAGTTACAGTGAAGTGTATGAGGAAGTGAAAAGATTGCAATCTCGCATGAATGAGCTGGATCAAAAAATAAATGAGCTCACAAGTACTCTCAGTTGTGAAAATCTCTCAGCGAATAAGAGGTTGGAAAATCTTACCGGTGCGCGACCAAAGGTGAAACTTCAAAATGAACGCATTAACTACGAAATATCGGAACCTAATTTGGTAATTGAAAGTACTATGAGTGAAGCACTGGCAAACATTGAAGAAGTCAAAAGGACCCTTGAGGTTGTAGAGTTGGACAGCCAGGAACCTGAGCTTTACGAGGATCAGTTTGAGAACTTATGCCATAATTCTTCAACTGCTGGTTTGCTGCTGCTTGAAGATAGCAACATAAATCAGGTGGGAAGTCTTGGATCCACAACACGAAATAATGAAAGTAAGATTCAGTTTAAATTATTGGAAATAATAAAAAAAAATCGTAATACAATTAATCATCGGTTCTTCGTATGTGTTGTTTTCCAAAATTGATAGTCAAATTGTTAAAAAAAAAAAAAAAGATATTACAACTGTTAGGGCTTTACTTAACTCTACACCCAGATACATCCCTGAAGCATAGATCTTTTGCCCATTTTTCAGTAAAAGGTTTCCCAAGCGGGGAGTGGAACATGGGTTTGATGGAGTTACGCAGTACCAGTATAAAATTGAGTAGAAAGTGAATACTTTTGACTTTTTTTCTAGTTATAGTACTACTATACTAAAGAGTTTACATGGGGGAAGAAGTCTAGCTTCGATAAACATGATGTAAACCGATTCCCCAAAACTTAGAATGATCCCTGCGTATAATCGAAAAAGAAACATTTAGGAGCACAGCAACAGACGTTTTTGAAACGAGATTTCACCCTACTTTCCTCCCAACTACTACTGGGGTTATTGAAGAGATGAAAAGTTTTCTCTTTTTATTTACTGTTAGTTTGTTCAACAAGTTTGTTTTATTTACAAACAGTATCGTACTATTAATTAAGATATTTCTTTGAGAATACACTCATATCACCATGTTGATTAAGTCTGTTAACATATTTTGAGATAGAAAGAAAAAAGAATAAAATGGCGTGTAACAGGGCACGTAATCATGCATGTAGAGTTGACCAACAACCGGTTCACGTGTGACGTGCCTCCTGACTGTCATTTCGCTTCTTATAAGCATGTGCTGGATCGTACTACACATGATGCCCTGTTATGTTGCTCACCCTGCTACTTATTACATATGTTACTCGCCCTGTTACTTATTTTTCAGGAAAAGCATACCGTACAGAGCAGTTCCCCAAGTTAGTTACCTATTCAAAGAGCTGTACTTTCTGTAATAATTATGCCCCCAGTCAGATTACTTTTCAATAATATTATTAAATTTTTTGTTTTGGTTTAAAAAAAAAGATAAGCTTGAAATTATTCAAAAGCACCATAAATGAATAGTTTTCTTTTACAAGTTACATGCTTTTGAATTATGTATTTTAACTTTTGAATCAAATGCTTCTTTTTCTATTAACCATTTATTTTTACTGAAAGGGGCAAATACGAGTTGACACTTTTGCAGTATTATATATAAAATTTCAGAGAACGAGTATATTATTAAAATTAAGAAGATTATTAAGATTAATATGCTTATTATTTCAACAGGAAAATGTGGAGATGAAGAAATTCAAAGACATCGAAAGATTTTGCATTGGCTTCGAAAAAGATACTCCCGTTTTGAAAAAATGCTGAAGTCCATACCCTCAAAAGTTATGAAATAAAAACATGGTGCGTAACTACAAAAAATTTTATTAACAATTATTCTAAGACTTAACACTATGTCTCAAAGTTATCTCAAAGTCACCTTACACTTTATAAGGGTCATGGGAAGTATGCTTCCCACCAACTCCATTAAATTTTAAATGTCGGTAGGAAGCTATTTTCCTACCAGTGTTATACCTATGTTAATCAATTTAGAAAATATGTATACAAAAAATAATAAGAATATTAATTTTTAATTTATTTTATAACCCTCGTTGAACAGCCGACCCAATTTTGAGTTTACGATCGCTAATGTTTAACTCCGTAGCCTTGTAATTTTGAACCCAATCCATAAGACAAAAGAACTCATGTTTTAAGTATTTTAATTTTATTTTATAACCATCGTTGAACAGCCGACACAATTTTGGGTTTACGACTACTAACGTTCACCTCCGTAGCCTTGTAATTTTGAACCAATCCAGAAGACAAGGAAACTTCAAACACTAAACCCCTGGAGGCATTGATTTGTTATGGGAGCATGGAGGACTTTGCGAATCGACAGATTTAACGTGCATCAGTCACCATTTACTACACGGGGAATTTTCGGCCGGTGGGGATTGAACCCACGAACTCTTGGACATAGGCCCCGCGCCCTACCGACCAGGCTATCCTGGGGTTATGTTTTAAGTATTGGGAGGAGTTTGCCTTCGCGGAGGACTTTTTGAGGGTACTAACCCGTATTTTCGTTACAAGGAGAGGAAAACTTCCCACGATTTGCCTGACGGCGAGGAGACTCTAACCCATGAAACGTCTACCACTGAGAATATTTTACGTCAGCACTCTGGTTGATTTCAACCGGGTGTGTAATTCATTTCTACCAGTCATCGCCAAGATTCGAACCCGAGTCACCATATTTGGAGGCGAGTTCTCTATCCCCTAAGTCACCAAGGTTCTAAACATAAAACTTTCTTGGCCGGGAAAGAATATTAATTAAAAATATAAAGAATACCGATGGAGAGCTTTGCTTACATAACTGTGGGTAGCAGTAAAGGTTGGCATGGGGTCAAGAAGAGAGGCCAACATTACGGAGCGATTTTTTTCAAGTGTAAATGTTTCTATGATAATTTTACAACACCTTTATTTGTAACTATAAGTATGAAATTTATAAGTTTGGTTATTTATAATCACAGATGTTAAAGTTCATGGTCAATTCTTGGTACGGCAGTAGGTAACATTTTGAAAATCTCCCCCAGACCCCCTTAAAAAAAATCAAATTAGTTTTAGGTAGTAAGATAAATTAATTTCTCCTTATAAATCAATTTTAATTCCCAAGATATGATTACTTGTATCAATATCTAAGTTATTTTAAGTGCTGCATGATGCTATTTAATTAATGCATGTGAATGTTTTAGGGAAAAAAATAACGAAATATGTGTATCGTGCAATTTGTCCTCACTCCAGATTGTGACATTCTTTTAAAATCTTTTTTATTGCTTTTCTGTATTAATATTGCAATGCGAAACTTTTTATATTATATTTTAACGAATGATTTACTCCAGGAATATAAGATATAGAGTAAAAATAATGATAGAGCTGTTTTTTAAAAGATATCTCCCCAGATGCCTCCAATTGGGGCGGGTAGGGTTAAATCCAATTAATAAAAAAATTTTAAACTATACAGTAATAAATATATGAAATCAAAATCGTAAAAATTGAAAGAGGAGACCCCAAAAAAATGAATACAAATAAACAAAAGTGTCAATTATTCTGAATTAAGCTCTCCTTATTCTGTAGTCAAAAATAGCATCAAAGCTGTCCTTATTCCTATATGGACAAAAATAAATTTCAACACAGAAATATTTTGGAAAGAAAATATGAAAATTAAATTATCTTTATATAGATGAAAAACTTAAGTGTTGTTTTATCGTTTTGCGCATTCTCATTTGGCGGAACTATCACATAATAGGGTCAGAAATAAGGAAAAAAAAATCAAAAAACAAAAAAGTACTTTGTTATGTTACATTTAATTACACAAATATTTTGCTACCGATTCACAATTATTAAAAAAATTCATAAGTTATGATTAATTTTAAATACGCAATATTTAATTCTATAACAAATTTTGTCTAAAATTGCGTTTAGTCAACATAAGCATTTAAATAAATACACAATTACTATTTCCTAATCAAAGTAATATTAAAAATGAATTTTTTGAACTGTTACAAAAAAATTTTTTGGCAAAAAATATTTTATGTGATTTTACAGCAATCGAAAATTAAACAATAACTAGGAGGCTTCGCCGCCTGCTCGCTGGTGCTCACCAACCCTCGGAACTGCCTTCGCAGTTCATTTCGGATTGCTTCGCAATCCGATGCTCGCTTTGCTCGCTCATTGGATACGTTCTTAACGTCTAGCTTTTGTATACTTATTTGAACAATGAAGTTCCGAAAACTTTTCACTGTAGAAAATTCTAAACCTGTGCATTTCAATATTAATTTGAAATTGCAAACAGTTTACATATTTTTCTTAATCACACTATTCTAACTTTCAATTGTTGAGAAAAGTAACTGTTGTAAGTTTTGTTTTAAAGTCTTTCCCACCAGAGGGCTAAAACCATGTGTTGTAAAACAATATGAAATAGTACTGAAAGCCGGATGTAAAGCATCTGCTTCGATGAGGATAATTTTGTGAGAATTTTTTTAATAACTCGGTGAGAATTCTCCCGATTAGACATATGATGCTCACTACGTGCTCTTGCGCGCCGAATCCAATCAATTAAAAATGAAAACTGTTGCCAGCGCGAGAAAAGAAATATCATCGGTTTTATTGATACATACGTATGTATTAGCGTTTTATATAATATAGATAGATATTAAAGCAAGTTTAAGGATGAAATTGGAATGGTATCCGAGCGAAATTATTGTGTTTAAATTTTACCTAACGGAAGTTTGGGTAACCGAATCTGGCAATATGTGTTAAATTAATTTTCTCACTGCATAAGTTAACTCCTTTTTGAAAGATAAGAATGTTTAAAATATTTTTACTACATTAAAATTGAAAATTTATTATATTTGTGTAAATTTATTATATTTGTGTAAATTTATTAGTTTCAAAAATATATCTTACACATATTTTTCTTAATCTTTCTGATTATTATTTTACTTATTTTTAGGTTGAAAAGAAGACACAAGATTTGGAATAAAAATTAAAATTACGACATTTTCTGTGAAACATAAAAATTTCCTATTTTTGTTTGTTTTTTAAAAAAAAGTTGAATTTGTTAAATATTGTATGGTGAAATTCAGGCATTAAAAATCAATTTTGTTAATTTATTTTCATTTTTTAATTAAAAGCATTTCAAATTTTTGCTTATCACTATATTACTTAAAATTTTATTATTACTCAATTTACTAAAGTTGTTGTTAAACTAATGTTTGTGCTGCCATCTATCAGACTTTAAAGACAACATAAGGTATTAGAAAGAATAATCCGTAATTTCCATTATAAATTTAATTTTTTTTTAATTAAAATCGAATTGAATAAAAATTATTCGGAGAATTACTTTACATTACCTTTAGCTGTTTAAAATGCTTTTAGATAGCTTTTTAAATTAAACTTATACAAAAAATAACGTTTTTGATTTATTTTTGCACTGAACTATAATTTATGGAATCATAGTAAACTATGTTTAGTAAAAAAAAAGTTATTTCAGAGTATGTATTTTCTTTAAGTTACTTTATAATTTGTTCCAATATTGCCTTGTTTCTTCATTTTATTAAAACTTTTTTTTAAACAGTCACTGACCTCAAATATTAATATAAAAATAATGAAAACAAAAATTTTAAACAAGCATTTATATTTGACTATTTTATAAAATGCAATATTCTTTAATGTTTTATTTATTACTTACTTTATATTTTGAATGACAAGCAGACTTTGCAATCAAATCACAAATATAAAAGCATAGATATATATCCTCTTTATCAGTCCCTGAATAAAACTGAAACGGATAAACTGATCCTTTAGTGCTGTCATCTATCAACAAAACTTGAAACTTTATTGTAAGCCTACGTTATATGCAAAGCATTTTTAATACTTTTTATTTAATTTTAATGTTAAATGAACAATTGGGAAAAACACAATGCTAACTCGACAGGTTCGAAAATACTTGTAGCAAGTGGGCTATACTCAAAGTCCATAAATTTATTTACATTATTTTATAGAGAAAATGAATAAGAGCAGTAGATTGATTAATATTTAAGTAATAATAGTAATTTTATTTACAGATGTAATTTTCATACATTGTTCACAATATAAAATTAAAAAAATTTAAAAAAATGTACAGGGTTTCGAATATTACTTGAAGATTACAACGCAGTGGGAAAAAACAACACATAATGGAGCAACTTTTACAAGCATTTCAAATCTTACAATGAATTGGGAACTGTTCTTTGTCCTATTTATGGATATAAAATGAAATTGTTATTCCACATTTCCCTTCCTGTTTTGATCAATTTATTGATGGAGTTTGATCATTAAATCTATAGGTAGAAAATTCCAGATTTTCTAATACTTTGTTATGGAATTATTTTTAACTGATTTTCTATGAAAAGTTTAAGAGTCCCATTTTAAAAACAATATATTAGTCTATGTTTAGAAATAATTTTATAAACATTTTAAAAAAAAATAGTCTAAACTCATAAACTGAGGTGGCGTTAGCATCGCCATGCATGAAATATGGTTCAAGACAGTTACTAAATTCGAACTATTCCTGACATTTTAGATTCATAAAATGCGAAATACTAGTTATTTCAAATTCTTACTCAACTTTGTTAAAGAAGTGTGGATATTAGAATCATCTGGTCGACAATTTGTGAATATGTCAAACATTTATGTAAGCGGAAATTATTTAAAGTCTGATTAATATGAAAAATTAAAAGTCATGTTTTGGAAAGCAACCACACAAATGAAGGCATTTGTTAGAGAATTTCTAAAGAATTCAAATTCAGTTCAAAACTCA